GGATATAAATAACTTTGAAAATGAGCGTGACCAGTGGGAGATCCCGTTCGGGATCATACAAATAACGAATCATCTCAGCTTATACAGTAAAGTGATGCTAGTCATTGTGCTACAATATTAGGTTAGTAGAGCCTCCAATAGATGAACAAACAAGGAGTAACTCAGATTCCCAGAGCGAGCTATGAAGCGGAAACTACCTGTCTGGGTAACTTATCCGGACGGGCGATTGTTGCATACCGCTCCGGGTGTATGTCGAAAGGTGCGCGTTGTGGCAGTCGCCATTTTCGACTGGATTCATGCTTCATAGAAGCAAAGTTTTCAAACTTACAAAAGTTCGTTAGTATATCAGAAAGTTGACGGAGGATTACTAGTTGAAATCCAAAAGTAGCAAAAAAGATGTGGACTTTTTTCTGCTTCCCCTCCCCCCCCCCCCTCTTAGTCCGCTGCCTCAACGTAGCGAGGAGGTGCCCCTGAGTGTAGCAAGAAGGTCCGAATTCATGAGTCCCAGCTAAAGCAGACCACTCCACCATCATGCCAGGATTCGTTGCCACCTGCCTGACAATGCGTGCGGAGGCAAAAATTCTCAGTGTCATCCAAGGAACGCCGACTGCTTCGACACACTAGAACGCTTCAGCCAGGCTATCTAGGGTGGCGAAAAATTCAATGGCTCCTACAACTTTGAACCGGTCGCCCCAGTACCCTGCGCACCGTGTTCGTCTGCTGCTTGGGACGTCGGATACGACCGATGAGGGGCGAAGAAATTTCAGATGCAAAAGCAAGACGTCCATTGATAAAACGAATTCGACAAGACACTGAGGCTGTTTTCGATTGCACGTACAATCTTAGCATCAGCCCACAAGCTATTCGTTCTCCTAGACGCCGCAAGCCGCATTAGATATGTGATTGCTTTGCAGGAAACAAAGAACAGAGGCTCGACTATGCTCAAAAAGAAGGATGGATTTCCTACCATATTAGAAGAGAAGGTTCCAACATGAAACATCGGAGGCGTGGGTTTTGTCATACACCAATCCGCTAAACATCCCGTCAACTCTCATAAAATCTTGTCGCCACGACTAGCAGTCCTAAGACTTGTTGCTCCATGTCGGATCAGCAAGATCAGCATCATCAACTGTTATTCGCCTACAGATGCACAGATGAATCCGAACTCGACAAGTACTATGAGGAGCTAGAAGACGCCATCCACGAGGAAAACTCGTTCACAAGTCCACTGTCAACGATTGCAATGCAAAGATAGGATAGGCACAAAAACACCGCGACGAGAGAATTGAAAAAATTGGGACAGCGAAGTCGGAACGAGAATGGAGACAGAGTCGTCGGACTCATTGAAACGGCCTGCCTATTCCATGGAAATTCGTTTTACCAGAAGAAAGAACATCGCTGCTGACCTGGGACTCACCAAATGGAACGGTACATGCGAAGATCGATCATATGTCAAGGAGAAATGGAGCTCAATCGATGTCGAAATGGTTCCGTCGTTCCGTACAGGTTCGGACCCCCGTCTACTTGTGCAAAGATCCGCTTCAATCGGAAAATGGAAGGGAAATCTTGTCATTGCGCGAAGTTCAGAAGAAAAGGCATATACGACGAACGCATTCTCGAGAACGCCATTTACAGATATGATTGGAAGGAATGCGAAGATCCAACAGAATATCTAGAAAAGTTATTTGAAGGACTACGCAGCTCTGCAGAGCAGGAACTTCGCACTGTGGAAAGAGACTTGGGACGGTTGACAAACAAAACCGAAGAGCTTCCTCAGAAAAGAAGAATCGTGCACGCAGATCCAAGTGCATCGCATCTAAAGCAAGTAGACTTTAACGGCATTTGCAGAAAGGCTGTACAAGAGAATCTGAAGCGATATCGACAAATGAAGATATTGGAAGCAGCACAGAACAGGAGAAGTCTGAAGAGGTGTCGTAGGGACCTTTGCGAGCACGAGATACCGATGCAAGCTCTACTGATTGAGGACGGAAGACTAGTGAAATCCCTACACGAAATGGAAGCTAAACGAGGAACTTCAGCAACAGACAGACCCTATCATCCCTACCGGTGAGCAGCCAGAAAAAATTCTTCCTTCATACGCTCGGCCATAGAGTGCATGAAACCAGGCACAGCTCCCGGTCCTGACAGAATCACCGCCAACTTACTGAGAGCAGGTGGACGCAAGTTATAAACTCTACTGGCAACTCATATGACACGTTATCTGAAGAAGGAAAGAAACCCAACCAGTATGGGATATCCCGCACTATTCCCTTCCACAAGAAAGGCGGAAGAGAAGACTTGAGAAACCGAAAGACCAGCTTACTAAGTGTGCTTTACAAGCTGTTCACGATCATCATGTCGCGTATTTCAAAGATGTTGGATGAAGCATAACCGACAGAGCAAGCCAAAATCCATACAGGATTCAGCTGCGTCGATCACATCCAAACCGTCTCAGGACTAGTGGTTATCCTGTTGTGACCAACTGCTCCTACTCCTCACCCTCGTCGATTATAAAAAGGCCTTTGATAGTGTGTAAATTAACAGTTTTGACTGCTTTAATCGAAAAGGCATGGACGCAACATACGTAAGGACCATAGCGGACTGTAACAATGAATGTACCTGCAAGGTACAGTTTCCTGACCACCCGTTACACATCCGTATCGAGAGAGTCCGACAAAGCGACACGTTGTCGCCAAAGCTCTTTACCGCGGTACTGCAATGGTGCATGCGTCGCTTGAGTGGGAAACGAAAGGAATTTGCGTGGTTAAAAGGAACCTTTAGAATCTCCGTTTTAAGACGATAACCAAGATAACCAAGTTCAAACAGTATCGACTTGGAATCCGGAGCTTCGATCTTAGGCAACTATCGCGTTTAGAAGATCCAGAAGAGTACGGTCGAAGATAACCCGTTTTTAGGTGACGAGGACTCCTGTGCGAACCTCAGCACAGGAGTTCTCACGTAAGCTGGGTTCACTCCTTGATCGACTTGCGCTGACAGAACGTTCGTTTCAACGCTGTCGAAAGCTTTTTCGTAGTCATCGAAGGTCAGGACGTGAGGCAGTCGATACTCCCGGCAGATTTCTATGTCCCTCGAAACCGTCTGGATGTGGTCCATACAGCTGAATCCTTTGCGAAATCCAGCTTGGGCTTGAGGTTGGGCTTCATCCAGTGCCCTTGATATGCGAGCGGATAATTTTCGTAAAAAGTTTGTACAGCACACTCAGGAGGCATATTGGACTGTAGTTCCGAAGATCCTCCCGTTCACCCTTCTTGAAGAGAAGGACGGTTCTTGACGTTTTCCACTGGTCGGGAATCCTCCCCTTCTGAAGGTAAGATATCAAATGCGACGCTTCTCGTGTAGACGGTGTCCTCCGGCTCGGAGAAGTTCGACGGAAAGATGATCTGTTCTCCTCGAGCCGTGGAAGTCATCAAAGTCTGTATCGCGAACGCACTTCAGCAGGTAGGTATAAAAGTTCTTTGCGATAGATTCCATATCATATCGAGAAAAAGTCGGAGTCTCGTTTTCGTTCAATAGTGCAGCCAGCGGTACGTGATATTCACAGAGGTTTCTTCGACACTTCTTAAGACTTCGTCTCTCTTCGGCTGCTTGCAGTATTTTGGCTTGCCTGTACTTCCTGAGATCCTTCTGCGAAGCTGTTCTGCAAATGGCGCTGGCACAGTCGCTCGAGATGGGCTGCACTCGGATCCTGACTCAGATATCTTCTTCTTTCGAGCAATCTTTTGGTGGTCTTCAAAATGCGTTCCAAGTTCTTTTCAGAAGTTGCTGAGGCGCACTCTCCCCGCACTGTGACAGACTTTCTGTTCCTGCTTTTAACTGAATCGTATCTTCGCTCGAAGGAGGCGGTGATCGGAGCCAATAAGGATGGAACTACTGAGAGATCGAACAAACTCCACCTTTTGTTTGTGAAATTGTGGTCGATCTTGCGTGAGTCGTTCCGTTGCGCGATTCCCAAGTCCGTCGGCGATGTCTTCAAGAGGATGGAATTTCCATGGAAGAGTCGTGCAGGGGAAGAAGCCCAATGAGACGGTTGCCGTTTTCATTTCGGAGCTCACATCCAAACTTCCCAATCCTATCCTCTTCTAGTGGCATACCGATCTTGGCATGAAGTCGCTCACAACGAACTTGCAGAAGGAATTCTCGTTGCTGACAACCTGCTCCACGTCTTCGTTTTACGAATAGGTAAATAGCGTGAAAAGATGTTCGGAGCTTCAAGATATGGGACTTTCATTTGAGCTGCGATCATTCTCCGGAATGGATATTAGTGCATGCGGCCCTAAACAATACCAGTAAGTAAGTAAAGGATCTGTTTCTCCTAGTCAGTGACAACTGATCAACACGCGCCTTTCGACCGTCTCTTCGGTAGTCCAGCGTTGAAACATAGCTGAAAGACGATTATCGGTTGACCATCGCGACCGCCCTAATGCCAAAGTGTATGCATTGGTAACTGACTGTGAAACTAAGGATTTAGGCAACAGAACAGTTAAATCTTAAAAGCAAAAGCAGCTATAAAGACAGTTGCATAATCCTGACACCGAATCATTGGACCTCGCGTGACTCAGCGTTAAACCTTGCAGCGAACGCAGCGCAAACGCTCGCGGTTTTACTTTCACGATTACTGCAACGCACGCAGGATTTGAAGGTCGTCTCCCATTTCAAGTACTGCTGTGTACCAATACGCACCATCCATATTGTGTCTACTCCAACCTGCATGCGTCTTTGTTACATTAAGGTTAGGTAAGGATCATGAGAGAAGCCGAAAAGCATCTTGAAAGATACGTCGTTTCAATCAACATTCGGGGAAGCACGCGCGAAAAAAACAGTGTGCGCCCCGCCCAGCTCCGTAGAGTATGAGTACCAAGATTGGTCCGGATCAGTCGAGATAAATTTTTCTTCTCGACATACATTTCCACATACAAAACCGATTGTGAGGTTTATATATGAGGTTATCAACGTGGTAAATGTCACATAGACAAACAAACCTTATTATTTTCTCGACGAGAGCAATTGCTTCATCCACCTTCTTAGAACAGTTTGCATCTCTTTTTTGCAGCTCTACAGAAAGAAATATACGTTTCCATTCCACAAATTTGACCCACCTTTAAGCAATATGACCACAGTAGGAAGGCGTTGTACAGGCTTGATGAGAAGATCTTGAAAGCGACAGCGTTGAAAATCCGTGCCACATTCCTTCGCCTAGATAGTACACTAAACGTGACGAGCAATATTGACTAAAAATTTTGAAATGAACATTCATAGGACTGATCTTAACATGTGTAGCCACTCGAGATTATACAGCTCTCTTTACAACGGAATGTCATAGCGCGCTATTAAGCTGTTATCCAATATTATTGTTTGTTTCTTATAAGAACGTTCGCCGTATTCTTGGAGGTAACTGATGGGCTCTCATAACGCTAAGGTATATGTGCCGACCAGTGGCGTGCCGAGGCCCCCCCCCCCGAGAATTGGTCGCGAAATTTTTAAAAGTTACTTAATGTATTTTAAAAATGTGCAGAGGACTTGTTTTTACTTGTAAACAATTGAAATAATTCTCAAAAAATTTTAAAAATTCAAATTAGCCTTGTAAAAAAAGTTTTTCGGACACACACACACACACACACACACACACACACACACACACACACACACACACACACACACACACACACACACACACACACACACACACACACACACACACACACACACACACACACACACACACACACACACACACACACACACACACACACACACACACACACACACACACACACACACACACACACACACACACACACACACACACACACACACACACACACACACACACACACACACACACACACACACACACACACACACACACACACACACACACACACACACACACACACACACACACACACACACACACACACACACACATACATACACACACACACACACACACACACACACACACACACACACACACACACACACACACACACACACACACACACACACACACACACACACACACACACACACACACACACACACACACACACACACACACACACACACACACACACACACACACACACACACACACACACACACACACACACACACACACACACACACACACACACACACACACACACACACACACACACACACACACACACACACACACACACACACACACACACACACACACACACACACACACACACACACACACACACACACACACACACACACACACACACACACACACACACACACACACACACACACACACACACACACACACACACACACACACACACACACACACACACACACACACACACACACACACACACACACACACACACACACACACACACACACACACACACACACACACACACACACACACACACACACACACACACACACACACACACACACACACACACACACACACACACACACACACACACACACACACACACACACACACACACACACACACACACACACACACACACACACACACACACACACACACACACACACACACACACACACACACACACACACACACACACACACACACACACACACACACACACACACACACACACACACACACACACACACACACACACACACACACACACACACACACACACACACACACACACACGTACACATACACATATACATACCAGTGGCGTACCGAGGGGGGGGGGGCGCCCCCCCCCCGAGAACGGGTCGCGAAATTTTTGAAAATTACTTACATGCGTTATAAAAATGTGCAAATGACTTGTTTATTTTTGTAAACAATTAAAATAATTTTTAAAATTTTTTAAAAATTCAAATTAGCCTCATAAAAAAAAATTTTTCGGGGGCATGGCTGACGCCACGCCCCCTTTTTCCAGATTTTATGGGTTTGGGGCCCGCAAAATCGTTGAGAAGCCCCCCTAAAAATTTTTCGGAGTGCGTGGCTAACGCCACGCACCTTCATTTGAAAATTTTTTTGCCGCCCCCCCCCCCGAGCCGAAATCCTGGGTACGCCACTGATACATACACATATACATACACATAATACACATACACATACACATACACATACATATACACATACACATACACATACACATACACATACACATACACATACAAATACACATACACATACACATACACATATCTTTGATTCAACTGGTTTAGCTCCGTCAGGGCAGGCCGCTCGCGCCCGCGACGCACCTGCGTCTCTCGCGCGCGAGTGCTCTCTGATCATTCTCTAGCCTTAATTAGGTCACGAAACCCCGCCTTTGCCGAAGCTCAGCCAGTTGAATCAATTGTACACATACACATACACATACACATACACATACACATACATATACACATACACATACACATACACATAACACATACACATACACATACACATACACATACATATACACATACACATACACATACACATAACACATACACATACACATACACATACACATACTCATACACACACACACGAAACAAAGTGCTCGTTTGTGCCATTGCACTATAGTTGGAACCTAATATTCGTATTCGAACAATTTATTCGAGCTATTGTATTCGAATATTCGAGAAGGTCCAGTTATTATTCAAATAATCGAATGAATGAAAGGGGTCTTTATTCGAATAATTCCTTCATTCGACGATTCGAAAAATAGCTTATTCGAATATTCGAGAAGCTGTGGAAGACCGCTGCTCGAATATTTGATTATTCGACTATTGCGTTTGAATATTTGAATATTGCATGTGAATGTTTGAATATTGTATTCGATTATTCGATGATATCCAATTATTCGTTTATTCGAATAGTCGGATTTTCGATCAAGTTCGGTTATACAAATATTCGCATGTTTGAATTCTGGAATGTGATATTCAAATGTTCGAATTCAAACAGTATAGAACGAAAACTTCTCAAAAATCAACTATTCGATATGCGTTCATTTGATGAGGATTTCTGTTCGTTGCAACTATAAATTGCACCTCCGAGATGCATTTTCGAGATGAACATCGGATCAAGACTCAGCACTGGCTTGAAGGCAGCGTCCGGGCAGATACGAAAATGTATAGTACAGGGGCGCCCGTCCTGGTAAGACTCTTGCCCAACTGGCAATGCACCCATTTGCTTCTGAAGCGAGAAATCCGCTTCAGAAGCGGCGACCGGAACGCCCTGGCGACCGGGACGATTTAGTTCGATAAGCCAGAGTGCGCATACCGCACACAGTCAAGACGTAAGGTCCCACAAAGACTCTGCGTTCTTAATCTTCGCGGCAGGCAAAAAAATTCAAATCAAGAGCTTCTGGAAAAACCCGTTTTCGGCGTTTTCGTGCCCTCCAAACTGCAATTTCAGAATCAGCGAGAGGAATGAGCCCAGGTAAGCGAAAAAAATTCCATTCGCAATTTCGCCCGGACGCTGCCATTAAGCAAGCTGGATATTGTTTTTGGGACAAAAAATAAAGACGATATCGTGTGAACGGAAAATACGTTTTTTTAACCGATTTTTGAAGGTCTTTTACGTTCGTTTTCACGTTCCTTTTTAAGGGTCAGAGGGGACTTCGTAAAATTTTGGGAAAGTCTCGGAGACTTTGTTTTTTTTTACATTTTCGGAAAGCCACCTCGTCCGAGCTCGAGATAAGAGCAGATAAGCAAAAAATCCGGACAAAGAATTTTTTGAAAATTTCTAATTATCGTGCACCGTATAAGCAATTTCTTACGCGCTACACGGGCAATGATGATTACAGGAACCACAGGAAAAGTATGCCGAAAGCTAAAGGCGCAAATATGGCATTCACCGTCTTCTAATCGTTCTTACCATCCACCTCCTCCTCATATGTCATTGTTGCAAAATAAACTGTGAGCTCTTTCAGCAATCTATCTCGGAATTCTTGTAAAACAGAAAATAAAGGCGGCTAAATAATCACTCGTTTCCAAAGATAAGACATTACGATGCATAAAGAATCACTTACTCTGATAAATGCATGTAAGCGTGGATCAGTTTCGTCGGCGGAAGTCAATGTGATGCGAGCTGTGTCGTAATTGTTCGAATAGGGGGAGTAAACACGATCCAGGTCCTCGTATGCCCCAATCCAGACCTAAATTGTTTGAAGCAAGGTCTACATCTGACTAGTTCGATACATATGCCCAAATTACTTGATCTTCATTGTTTGTCATAGAAACTATATCAATGAACTACAGCAACGAAAGATTTTGTTAGAGCTACTTCGGGATCAAAGACTCTTCCTCCCATCCCCCTGCAAGAATGGCTCGCGTTTCTGAAAGTTACTAACGGATTATAAAAATGGGCAAGGACTTGTTCATACTTGCAAACAATTGAGATAATTTTTGTAGTTTTTCGAATTTCAAATTAGCTTGTTAAAAATTTCTCGAGGGCGAGACCAGCAAATTCGGAGCGCGTAGCTAACGCCACACATCGTCAAAAAAAATATCGCCTTCCCCTCCCCCCAAACGGAAATCCTGGGACCGCGCCAACATACAGGCTGCTCCACGTGTGTTAGCCCTAAGGCATACCTCCCGCGTAGTCGCGTTGCGATTCCCAACTCGGACATATGTTCCAATTCCGCGACGCACACGCGCCCTTTAATATGCGGTCGCACCGCGTCTGTGTTAGATTGACGCTGCGACAAATCGTGGACCTTTTTGGGAGAGCATACTCTCAGTAAGGATATCGTTGCGACAACGCTCAAACTCAGCGATTTCGCCGTCGCTAGTTATGCACCAGCGAAAGGCGAATCGCTTGAATGGCTTCTTCTTTCTGGATGTTTTGTATTTTTTTGCAAATGCGAATCTCGTCTGAAACTATACCATCTCATACAAGCGCTTCCTCATTGCATGAGAGAAGGACGGTCATCAAACATTCCACACTTTTGATCATTGAAAACAACGCATGCGACATATACAGTATGGAATGCTTCTCACATATTACCTTACCCTCTCTATTACCATTTACTGTTCTCGCAACGTACTAATCTTCTCCTGTTCTTGTTTATTAATAACAAGGAAATGGTAGCCGAATCTTGAATGTTTTTGCTATAGTTTCTGAAGCAAGACAGACGTGCAATATCGGTTACGCAGGCACATACAATGACCGCCATAAGGTTGCGAACAAGCCGACCTCCTTTTTCATCGCTCATTTTCGAATGAACAAAGATGAAAAAATGATTGGACTGCATGTGGTGACAGAGCTCATCAAAAGCTACAACCCAGCATTGCGCTTTCTAGAAAAATGTACTATAAAATTTTCAAAAGTCCTTTTCTGAAAAAGGTCCGAAAATGCCGCGTCACAATGTCGGGGGCAATAATTCTTCGAATTCAAAAATTTTTCTTTTAGGTCTTTTTTTTGAAGCAAAAACAGAAGTGATCCGGACAGCTAAGCATATCATAGTGTAGAGCTCACCGAGGACAATAATCAAGTAGTGGTTACTCCCAAAAAAACCTAAGCTTGAATTTTATTTTGCTTCGTCTGAAAAATAACTTTTAATTCCCTTCTTCATGCCAAATTTCTTCACATGGAAACCTATTCAAGACATTCCAACAAAGCTATTCGGATAAAGTGGATGCTCTTTGTCATCCTCTATGCATCGGACGTGTGCTGGTGAGTTTCTTTGCTGAAAATGGCTCTTGACAGTGCGTGCACATACCCCACCTGCACCTCACCACTGACTTGCACCGCTTTGCAGGCCTGTAGCTCAGCCGGCAGACCTTCTACGAGCCTGCAGGTACGCTCATTTGAAAGATCGTGACTTCCTTGACACGATGTTATGCAAATGAGTTGAGTTTGAGAAATCGCGGAGATTTTACGGATGGGATGAAAAAGCGCAGCTAATGGTAAGCTGAGGACTTTTAGCTAAGGTTGAGCAAAACTCCTTTTGCCACCATTCCCACACTGGAAGTTCAAAACTGTCAATTTTCTTGTAATAGACCATTTCGGGGCTCTACGATTGTTCTAGTGTTGATAGGAGCTTTCACTCCATTCATCTACAAGGCTGCGCTTTTTCATCCCATCCGTAAAATCTCTGGTATTTCTCAAACTCAACTCGTTTGTAGACGATCGTGTCGAGGAACTCACGATCTTTCGAATGAGCTTACCTGCAGGCTTGTAGATTGACTGCTGGCCGAGCTACAAGCCTGCAAAGCGGTGCAAGTCAGTGGTGAGGTTTAGGTGGGGTCATGTGCATGCACTGTCAAGAGCCATTTTCAGCAAAGAAACTCACCAGCATACGTCCGATGCATAGAGGATAACAAAGAGCATCCATTTTATCCAAAGAGCCTTGTTGGAATATCTTGAATAGGTTTTTATGTTTTATGCGAAGAAATTTGGCTTGAACAAGAGAATTAGAAGTCATTTATTGAAAAGAAGCAAAATGAAAATACAAGCTTAGGTTTTTTTTGGGAGTAACCACTACCCGATTGTTGTCTTCGATGAGCTCTACACTATGGATATGCTTAACTTTCCGGAAAACTTCTATTTTTGCTCCAAGAAAAAACACCTAAAAGAAAATTTTTGCGCTTGAAGAAGTATTGTCCGCGACACTGTGACGCGGCGATTTTCGGGTGCAATCTAGTCATTTTTCCATCTTTGTTTTCCATCCGAAAATGAGCGATGAAAAAAGGAAAGCGGCTTGTCCGCAACTTATGGCGGTCACTGTATGTGTAATCGTTCGCAGATTGGCAGACAAGAGCTCGGGCGGGATTGGCAGCGCAGCACTCATTATTTGATCCTACCTAGAGTTTTTTTACAGAGCCGAAAGCATGGCCTTACTGTTACGAAGCTAACGTATATGCCTACCAATGATTAAAAGAGAACTCAAAACTTCATAATTGTCGATTTCATTGCAGATGTTAACTTGCGCCGATAGAAAAACGTTGATAGACAATGGGATGTTTGCGAATCCATATCCTTTCTAGTTTGATGTAATGTTCCTGAAAGCATATGGCCCCAAATTCTGTTCGATTCTTGAGTAAATGCGCTTCAGACAATTTAGCACAAATTTTCCAAAAGTGCATAGAATGCGGTGTGATGTGTGAGCGTCTACGAAATCGCCTTGGGTATGTCCGCTAATCAAGCAATGAGCGATTTTCACGAGGTGAATGGTCGCCCAGACAGTCTAGTCGCAGCGATCGAAAATCGTAGCGAAGTGATCGCTGGAGGTATGCCTTAGGCCCCGGACAGACTTCACGCGATTTGATCGTCGCGACTGAATCGCGACGAGACAACTGTTACAACATCATTCCATGCCGATCAACTTGCATTTCGGTTGTGATACTTTTCCAGCCCGAAATTTTTGAATGTGAGATGAAAATGAATGGAAATGTGGCGATTGAGTCGCGACGATCAAATCGCGTGAAGTCTGTCCGGGGCCTTAGGTCTTAGATTTCAGTCGCAGCGCTACCGGAACGACTGTTCATAACCGGTCGTCAGAGCGCTTTGTTAAGGCATTACTCAATCGGTTTGCAATAAATCAGAGAAGCTAGGCACTCATGTATTGGAGGGCTGCGCACGATAAATTTGGAGACATCTGGCAAACTGCCAGGTCGCGTGAACGTAGCCATTTAGTCGAATCGCTGGAGGTATGCCTTAGGGCTTATGAGGAAAAAATTTCCTCAATTTGCAAGTATTCAATAAAACTGTAAGCTTTTGTCTTTGACTGATAAACAAAAAAAATGCGTATAAGATCTTATTAAAGACTTTGAGATATTTTCCTCTGGCTTTTGTAGAAGTAATCCTTTGCTCTCGAGAATTTCTCACGACGCGCATCATTTTTGGTCCCAGGCTCTTACCATGGCTCTTTTTAGCATATCTAGTGACGCAAATATTGAAGAGCAAGCTTTTTTCTTTCAAGAAGACAGCGAAGGAAATCCTCGAATTCAATGTTAGGCGAATTAAAAGGACGAACATATTTTTTTCAGTTCCGCAAGGCGGATTTTACACAATTGCAGTTCCACCTTTTTGCAATAGATTGGTGCCTAGTCCTGCAATTAAGACAGCGTCCTGTGTGTCTGCTTCAGCCCAAAAACTATAGCCCCTCAGAACCTCCTTCCGATGGTTTTTTTCAAAATTCCAAGAAAAAAAAACAATTAGCGTTTCTCACAGCAACTCCGGCCAGTAAATTTTTGTCCTAGTTCAACTTTAAGTAAGAACCGAAGTCAAGAATGGCCACAATGGGACAAAAGAATATGGAGAAAACGGATATCGTCAAAACGTGGCATGAAATAGACCAAAAATATATTTTTTGTAGCCCGTAGCATTTCACATGACCCACCCTTATATGACTAGGTCAATTCAGAAGTTTGTTCACTTTATAGAATCATTTACAATTCTTGTTTCCAGACTCGTCCCAGGCTCTACCCAAAAAAGTTGGCATCCAACATTCCACACCGCTAAACGCTTAGTCGCTGGATGAGATCACCTTCCATCCTGAACACTTTCCGTGCTTCAAATTTCGAAGATTGTCAGTGTTTGAAGCAGTTGTGTGTTTCACGACATCGCAAAAGGCTTTAATACTGAAAATCTATTAGGTTGTCCGGAAAATAATGTCGCATGGTATCTTACCGCGACAGAATGACCACAAAAAACAGCGAATGGGGTATCATTTGATAGGGCAAAGTAAGCTCTACAAGATATTTTACAGATCTCCGCGGAATTCGTGCTCCATCTGAAGTTCGAATCCAAAATATAAAAAATTTCAGATACCCGAAAAATCGTATCTCCGTCCATAGACGTCATAGGGATTTCCAATTTGCACAGGCATGTACTCTCTACACTAGACATTCACCTGTATAGTTCGTGGTATTTTTCCATGGCTACAGTACGAGAAATAAAAAGAGGTCAAAAGTGCGAAGATGTCACGTCTTTCGGGTTTTTTGCAAACAACTTGACTTTTCTCGAAAACAAGCCCTTGTCTAAAGCTGAAAATTCATGGTTATACTGATACGATTTTTTCCGTTCTTTAAATCCTGAGTGCCTTATGGAATTTGGCTCCAAACTTCATGCAAATCAAACCTGGCGCAAAGATTCGAGCTTCATTTTGTAGAGCTTGCTCTGATCTATCGGTTGATACCCCATTTACTCACT